TTGATGCTTATATATCACTTTGAGATGATGATAATGCTCAGTGACTTTTAAAAATAATGCTAATTCAATTCAGATTCCACTCACAGTTTGAGAACCTGCTGAGGGTCTCTGTGACAGTTTTCATATGGTTATGCTTTTTGATTTAATAAGAGCAGCACCTTCCCTCTCTCTGCTCAGCCAGCCTCTCAGAACACCCCACGAGGAGGAGGAGGGCAGGAATTCACCACTTGTTAAAGGAGAGAACAAGGCTCAGATGGGTCAAGTGAGTTGTCCAAAGCATTTCACTGGTCAAGGGCCTGAGTGGGGCTGAAATTCGATACCATCGAAATGGGATTATTATCATTTTTTTTCTATTCTAGGCTGATATTTTGAATTTAGAAACTTTTAGAAACAGTTTTCAGAATATACAAAATATACATGGATATACATCGGGGACTCCATTTTTGTCTTTTTCACGATTTGTCCTTTGTGACAGCTTTCATTTCCTTTGGTGGCCGCCTCACATACGTAGGATGGGCCATTCCCAGGCACCTGTGGCTGTTTTCCATCTAGACCCCTTTCTTAAAGATTTGATTTTAAATCAAATCTTTTTTTTTAAAGATAGTAATATTAGTAAAGATAAAGATGAGTAATATTAGTAAGATTAGTAAAGATTAATAAAGATAGTAATACTAAAGATAGTAATACTCAATGCTCATAAAAGAGACAATTGTTTTAAAAGTTCACAATGATCTAAAAACAAAGAAGTTTTCAATCTGGAAATATCAGTAGATTCTTTGCCAGTCTATTTGTTCAGAGATTTTATATGCATAAAAGAAATTGAAGAATGTCTTATAAATTTATCTTTATATGAAGTAAGTAGAATATGATGTTTGTTAATATACAGATATCAAGGCCAGCTGTGGTAGTACATGCCTGTAATTCCAACAATTTGGGAAATTGAGGCAGGAGGATTCCAAATTTTCGACCATCTGAACAGCTTAGAGAGACTCTGTCTTAAAATGAAAAACAAAGAAAAGACTTGGGATGCCGGCCATTGTGACGCACACCTATCATCCCAGCAGGTCAGGAGGCTGAAGCAGGAAGATTCCAATTTCAAAACCAGCCTCAGCAACTTGGTGAGGCCCTGAGCAGCTAACTCAGTGAGACCCTGTCTCTAAATAAAATACAAAATAAAATAAGGTTGTGGCTGTGACTCAGTGGTTAAGTGGCCCTGGGTTCAATCCCTGGTACCAAGAAAAAAAAAAAAAGAAATAAAAAGGACAGGGGGTGTAGTTTTGTGATATAGCACCTTTGGGTTGAGTCCCCAGTACCATGAAAAAATAAAAATAAAAATGTAGTTCATCATCCTCACCCCCTGTGCTGTGTGTTTTACCACCACCTTTACAACCTTGTTCCCACTTTAAATACATCCTTTCTTACCCTTCTTCAAATCCTAATTATCCTTCAGCTCAAATCCCACCTACCCTGTAAAAACAAACTTTTTGAATGCTCTAAACAGAAGGGATCTCTCTCCTCTGGATTCATGTAGTGAGCAATTCGGCAGGGAAACGGATGTCACCTTTTTGATGTCTCTTTTATTGTTCTATGTTCTAAGTTCTTTTATTATTCTAGGTAATGATCACTTAAGCCTGATAGGGGACAGAGGGATGTGCGTGGTGGAAACATGAGGTGAAGGGAATAATTCTATAAAATATGCCCACGGTGCCAAGCCCATGTGCTTTCACCTTTGGAAAGCAACTTAGCTGCCACCCTGTCTGGCTTAAGTTGACTTAGGGACATGTTAGCATTCCTCAGCAAACTACCTGTTATCCGCAGGAGAGACACAGGCCCTGAAATGCTGATAAGAAGAGTATGAGTCACCCCGAATGGGTCAGGGCTAAGGGGGAGTTTGAACCCCTACACAGATCAGATCCTGGAACTCGGGGACATAAGGAGAATTCCCCCGAACCATAAAATCTGTAGAACAAGTTCCAATCAGAACCAGTCAGCATGGGGCAAAGTGACCTAGGGTTGTCATAACCAGGGACTTGAAAGTGAGGCCATCCTGCAAAAGCCAAGGGTGGGCCTGGGAGGGACGACCTGGAAACGTCCCTGGGATCCCCAGTAAAACTGGAGAGCACAAGAAATGTGCTGTCCCTCTCCTTTCTGAGAGGACCCACTCTTTCCCTTGAGAGGGCCCCCTTTTCCCTTTTCCTTCCTTTAAACTTATGCCTGTTTCTCTGAGCGACATGTCTGGAATCCTTCTGACTTGACTGCAAGGATCAGGGTGTGAAGGGGGGTCCTGGTGCTGCCTCAGTTTCCTGGAAGCCTCCAGCCCTGTAACAACTTTTTGTTTTTTTTTAAGTAGTAGGGATTGACCCCAGGGGTGCTCTACCTCTGACCTACATCCCAGCCCTTTTACAATTTGAGACAGGGTCTCACCAAGTTGCCCAGGTTGGCTCAAACTTGTAATTCTCCTGCCTCAGCCTCTGTGACTGGCTTAAGCCTTTTTTTTTTTTTTTTTTTTTAATTGAGAGTCTCCTAGGAAGAACATTTTACATTTTTTTTAAGAGGGAGAGAGAATTTTTTAATATTTATTTTTCAGTTTTCGGCGGACACAACATCTTTGTATGTGGTGCTGAGGATTGAACCTGGGCCGCACGCATGCCAGGCAAGCGCGCTACCCTTTTCTTACAATTAATTTTTGAAGCTTGTCTCTCCAGCTGGATTGCGAACTCCCTAAAGGTAGGCACTTCCATACCCCTAGCATCTTTGCAGCTTCTCTTGCACCTAGCATAATGGCTTGTACATAAGAGGTGCTCAATAAACACATGTTTCATTTAGAGTCTCCCCAAAGTAAGTAAATAATCCCAACAGATAGGCTTCAACTTGAAGTTACTGTTCAGTTCTGCAGGTCAGAAGTCTCACTGGGCTAAATTCAAGATGTGTACGTGGCTGTATTCCTCTTAGAGCCTTGAGAGGAGAATCTGTTTTGTTCCGTCCTCAGGCTTCCAGAAACTCTTGCATTCACTAGCTCATGGTCCTTTCCTCTTTCCAAATCCCTCTTCCTTTCTGATGTCACTCTCCTGCTTCCCTCTTAAAAGGACTATTGTGATTTCAGTGGCTCCATCTGGATAATCCAAGATAATCTCCCATCTCAAGATTCTTAATCCCATTTACAAAGTCCTTTTACCATGTAAGATCATTCCCACAGGTTTTGGGGATGGAGCATGGACATTTTCCTTTGGGGACCATTATTCTGCCTACCATACCCTCTGGCCTCCTATACAGAAATAATGACAAGTCATAACTTAGTGTGGTCTTAAGGTTCTTTTTGTAAAATTGCTATATTGCATATGCTGTTTGTGATCTGCTTTTTACCCTTCCACTATTCTATATAGGAAATATTTTCTTTAAATATTCTTCAAAATCATGCATTTTAATATCTTTATAGTATTTAATCCATTGATTTATTATAACCTGTTTAAAAATGCTATTATTAGAATTTAGGCTTTTTGAAATTATTGGCTGCTTGTTGTGATTAACATATGTCTACATAAATCTTTATAATTATAATAAATTTTAAAAAGTGGTTCTTCTTATTAAATTTTGCATTTCCTGATACCAAAAATAAGCACTATGTAAATGTTAATGAAATGGGTCATTTTACCAAAAGTTTCTTCAGAGGTCAGGAAAGCTAACCTGTTTATTTTGCAACGGAGAAAACAGAGACTAGAGAAAGAGATAAGTTCAAGATGATACAGCCAAAAAGAAAGCTAGATTTGACTACTTGAAACTTCAGCGTGATGATGAGCACTGCAAAAACCTTAAAACACAAATGACAGGGGTTTGGCATCCGAGCACCAGAGGCAGGGCAGGCCACAGTGTGGCAGGCCATGGAGACAGCATGTGTGGTTGGGGGACTGGTTACATGAAACCCAGGGGTCAACTGGTTGAGCAACTGAGAAAATTTATTGAGGCTAAAGAGAATTAAGTTCCTTACTTGTTGGAAAAGTGGGAGGTTGTTGTTGTTTTTTTCCCTTCAGCTTAATTTTAAGGTATTAAAGCCGAAATTGTTAAGTGTGGAAAAAGTGAAGTGTAAAAGAAATAGGGGTATTGGATTAGAATGGGAGATATTGGCAGAGACTCATGGTTCTAAAATATATTCACTGATACAGAATTATTCTAGGTGCATGCATGCATGTGTGTGTATATTGGATATATGGACAGGTGTATGCATATGTGTGTGTATCCACCCAATTGTCTATATGCATTGTACATATATAATTCATGTGTGTTCTAGCTCTGTCCACTGAGAGGTCCCAGAAATCATGACACCCCAGTAGCCATGACAGCACTAGGTCCCCAAACTTAATACCCTCCCCTGCTGAAGAAACCAGGGATTCTGAGTTGATCCTGGGTCTGGGGCAGATAAAATGAAAACTGAACCTGGAGCATCTCATGGTGCCAGAAGTAAGAAAATGCTCAAAGAATAATGTCTGGGGGGCTGGGGATGTGGCTCAAGCGGTAGCGCGCTCGCCTGGCATGCGTGCGACCCGGGTTCGATCCTCAGCACCACATACCAACAAAGATGTTGTGTCTGCCGAGAACTAAAAAATAAATATTAAAAATTTCTCTCTCTCTCTCCTCTCTCACTCTCTCTTTAAAAAAAAAAATAATGTTTGGGTCGAAGACACAAGAGCCACTTTGAAGGGGCTTCTAGTGGTCACATCTGAGACAACTTGGGCACCAAACTAATGAAAATTTCAAAATACAACCTATTAAGTAACATAGAAACCTGTGGGTTCATACTGATATTAGCACAGGAACACACACGCACACACGCGCGCGAGGACAAGGAAAACTTCCTTGCAGAGAAGAGAAAACTATTGCCAGCATCGGGAAGTTGATCCAGGAGAAAAGTGGCCATGAGCGCTCAGTTTTATAGGTAGAATCTGATGAAAAATGAGACATTGGGGTCTCGGAATATTTTTCCCACAAATATTATTATTCAGTTACAAGGGAATAAAGAGTGATTTTATTTTGGAAAAACATGGCAGACAGGTGTGTGGTGGGGACAGAGACAGAGACAAAGAGTGGCCACTCGGATGACAATGTGCAACGTGTAGCTTTATATACAATAAGCTTCCATGTATATTGGATATATGGACATATGTGTATGCATATTGATTCCATAAATCAACCTTTGCATTATCATCCAGTTGAAAAGGGGCAAAAGCAATCAGGCAATAAAACAGGTAAAAAGTCCAACGAACATGAAAAGAGGTGCATCATCAGTAATAAGTAATGGAAGAAAAGCTGAGTAAAATAAGGTAACATTTTTTCAAAGATCTGTTAAACAGGCAACAGTGAGAGGCTGATAATGGGCCGCTCTCTTCTCAGGCAGCACAAGGCAACCCAGTTGGAAAAGAAATTAAGGTGCTTTCTGGGGTGATGTCACTTGTAAAATGGTTAGAGAATGCCTATGACTTGCAAGTAATCTATCATACACAGAGAATAAGCATACTTTCCTTGCTGATGTAGAAACACCCTTTGGAGTGGCCACTGGGCACTTCTCCCCATTTTCTATGGATAATAGTAACACAAATGATCACGTGTTCAAGTATTAATGGGCAGGGGCAAGAAGAGGTCATGGTATGATGAAATCAGAGAACCTTGGGTTAATATTTCCCATCCCATTCATCCACCCAAAACCAACCTGCAGCAATCCTATCCCGCAGCTGCTAGAACACCTCCTTTGTTCACTCATTCATTCAACAAACATTTATTCATCATCTACTTTGCTCCACAGTAGAGGTAAGTGCTAAGCATTTTATGGAGACATCGTAGTAACTGCCTCAGGAAAGTTTACCAACTACAAAGGGAGATGGATAGTAACCAGATAATCCTGTACACGAGTTTGAAATTGCAACCGAGATAAGGGATACGAAAGGGGTGCACGATGGTCTGAGAGCCCATAGCAGAGGGTTGACTCTGTCAGGGAGTGAGGAAAGGCATCTCTGAGCTGGAATACCACGGATGGGAATGCAAGCTAATTAGATCATGAAGAGGCAAGAACATTTCAGACAGAAGGACAGCACGTGTCAAGGCCCTGTGGAAGAGGGCATATGATGAACAGGAGAGAATGAGAGGGACGTAGGGGGAGTTAGGGTGGGACAGGCTGGCCAGGAACACAGGGCCAGCCCAGGGAAGGGAGGGAACTTTCTCCCAGAAGTCCCAACGGGTGGTTGGTCAGGGAAGGACTAGGACTCAGGGTGGAGCAGATCCTTCTCATTGCTGTGTGCAGGTCTCCCTGTGTCACACTCAAATCAACAAGTCACCAGTCGCTATAGCTCATTTTCCCTGCTACGCTAGGAGCCACCAAGTTCATTCTTCCTCGTTCGTGTGGGAGGGCAGCCTCCCTGCCTCTCCTCTGCCTGCTTTCCTGCGAGGTCCATGTCCTCCCTCGCCCCAGGTGGGTTTCCGAGGGCCCTTCAGTCTGTCCTTTCCCCTATCAACACGTGGGCCTGAGTGCAGAATGTAAAACCAACACAAGGCCTGGGAAGGCAAATGGAAAATGGTTATTGAACAAGCTGAAAACTGCCAAGACCATAAACTCTCGCTTTGAAGCCATCATCTGAAATGGAGAATCATAAAACTGAGAATAATGAATATAAAACAACTAAAGTATATTTACAATACTGGGCGGCCAGAGGAGACAGAGACAGGGAGGCTAGAAGGCTATTTCATTCTCCAGACCGAGGGCGGGACACCCAACAAGAAAAGAGGAGCAACTGAACTGAATTGTGAAGAGGTCGTGAGTTTAAACATTGCGGTTTTGGAGGAAAAACAAAAAGCAAAGCAAAGAAAAAATATTGAAAAGTATTTATCCAGCTGGGCGTCGTGGCACACGCCTGTGATCCCAGTGGCTTGGGAGGCTGAGGCAGGAGGATCCTGAGTTCAAAGTCAGCCTCAGCAACTTAGGGAGGCCTGGACATCACTTTATTTCTTAAACAGGAAGGGGCACATGATATTGATTATAGAATTATTTAGACCTTTTTATATTTCTGAAATATCTCCCAATACATTTTTTAAATGAAAAAATCAACAAACCAAGTTGCTGGTGAACTAATGATAAGAAGTAGAAACAAGGACTCTTGACTCCTTTCTAATGATTATGAAAAGAACAGAATATAATAGGTTCAATCCTGGTTGGCATGAAGTAGTTTCATGGTAACAGACTTAATGCTAGTGGACAGATCTGCGGGCCCAGTCACAGAGCTATGCAGGGTGAGTTGCAGCCATCTAAACTCCAGCTATATCCAGACGAGATTGACCTTGGCCCTATTTCTAGACATAAAACCTGATCTCACCTGGCGGACATGCACTACACAGACGCAGATTTACAGTCAGCTCACCAGTGCACAGCGAGCCCCCTCATATCGTCCCTTGCATGGAGGTCTGGGGTGGTGAAGAATTTCAGTATTTTATGTGACATCAGTTCAACTTACCTGTTGTTCCAAGGTGGTTGGATCAATAAAAGTCACCAGATCTACAGAAAAGTGACCAATCACATTTCGCGTCTTGCAGGCCTCTCCAATTTGGAGACACAAAGAACTGAGAACTTGGGGATCCACGGAGGTCTGAGGCATGGTAGTCCCAGAGGAGATGAAGGGGCTTTCGGCATGGAGCTGGTCTCCCGTTGACAGCAACCTAATTTCTCCATTGGGCTCTATCAGCATGTCCACCGTCAGGTTGGTGATGCTATCTGCAGGTGGGAAGGCCTCGATCACGCCCCCTGGTGGAAAGATGGAAGCAGATGAAAGGACATGTTCTCAGGGATTACAGGAGGAGATGACCTAGGCTTGGGCAGTTGGACATGGGCTCAGGTCCTGTCCTAGCCATCTCTTGAGAGACTTTGGGCAAGTAGCTTAGTCTCAACTTCTTTTTCTTCATCTGTAAAATGGGCATAATGAGACCTACCTTGCCAGGTTGGTGTGAGTCTTAGACAAACTGTATCTATATGTATTCAGCCCAATGCTTGGCTTATAGTAAATAGGGCACGAAGAATGGCAGTTTTGATTCTGATCACATCAATGAAGACACTGTACTTCAAACAAGAGATGCTTTCCTTAAATGTCTAAAATTGGGCTAGGGATATCCCCGACAAATGCCAAGTTTCAAAGGAAAACTGTTTCAGAGGGTACACATTCTAGCCCTAACTTATTCATTTGGTTGGTCCCAGATGTTCTTTTCTTCAAATAAAGCCTGCTAGTGTGAGCTGAATGGGAATACAGTTGCTGAGGATTTGGCAAGGCACATGCAACAAGTCAACACCAGCCAGATGTGGCCATGCCTGTAATCCCAGCAACTTGGGAGGCTGAGGCAGGAGGATTGTGAGTTCAAAGCCAGCCTCAGCAAAAGTGAGGCCCTAAGCAACTCAGTAAGACCCTGTCTCTAAATAAAATACAAAATAGGGCTAGGGATGTGGTTCAGTGGTCGAGTGCCCCTGGGTTCAATCCCTAGTACCTCCCCCGCAAAACCCACCAAAATCTACAAAAACAAAACGTTGAGTGGGTCCCTGATTCAGTTAACTTATGTCAGCTATACTTTGCAAGATAGTGCCTCTGTGGAAACATATTGTCCTTTATTACTTACAAGACAGCTTTATCTTTTTTATTTCAAAGAAATTATCTTCTCAGCCTCATGACCACAACCTGTTCATTGTTAATTTTTCCTTTCAAAGCAATTAATCCCTCTTTTTTTAAAAAAAAAGAATTTATTTTCTTTGATGTAATCCCATCATGTTATGGAAATCAAAACTGTGCCACATTTTGTAGCCACAAGCACCCTTGAGAGGAAAGAAGTAGAATAAAACAGAAAATAGCGGGAGAGGGTGACCTTAGAGTCATGGGGCAGGTGGATGCCCGGATCCATCAGAGAGCATTCACACAGGGCTTGCTGGAATGCACCAGGCTCCAAGCCTGGCACAGCCTTCAAAGACACATTACTTACAAGAACCAGGTTCTAAGATGTACTAAAGTTGTAGGATCTAACTTTGTGTTCCCATTCACCATTTCTCAGTTGTGTGACTTTGCCCAAGTCATTCTTTGACTTTCTGAAACTCAGTTTCTTCATCTATAAAACTGGGTTAATGAAGTCTGTCCTTCCTCCCATCAATAAGCCCTGTGTTTACAATGTGGCTGAGGGGTAGGATAGAGATGAACAGGAGATGCATGGGAAGCTTAGCAACTGTATTCCCATGTAGCTCAGCTGAGATACAGGCTAGGGATTCACATAAATAGCTTCAAGGAATGCTTTGTAGGCTGGCCTTGGAAGATCTGGAAATTTTCCAACACCCTGATTTGGATGGACCTGAAGATCTTCATGTTTTTCCCTCCTTCCTTAAAAAATCCCTTGTTCTTGATTTTTTTAAAAAACATTTTATTTCTGTAGAAGGAAACTCATGTTCTTCCATTTAGGCCTGGGAATGAGTTTTTTAATTTTACTTTTCTGTGCATGGGTGCATGTGGAAATTTGTGGATCCTAGACTTTTAGATAAGAGGATATTGGAGGTCACATAGCACCTTGTTTTTCTTATCAGATGGCTGTGTCCGTTCTGTTGCTTAAATAGTCCATTCCCAGGGCATCAACATACCCTGTCCAGCCAGTGTATCCAACAATCCACAGCCCTGTCCATTCTGATGCTCTCTAATACCCAGAGCTAAGACATGTTCCTTAATAAATGTACCCACTGGCTGTGGCCAAGACTCCACAGTGATGTGGAGGTAGCTTTTTTTTTTTTTTTGTACTTTATTTAGAGATAGTGTCTCACTGAGTGGCTTCGTGCCTTACTTTTGCTGAGGCTGGCTTTGAACTCATGATGCTCCTGCCTCAGCCTCCTGAGCTGCTGGAATTATAGGTATGTGCCACCTTGCTCTGCTACAGGTAGCCTTATAAGGACTATTCTACGAGTGAGCAGAGAGATTTGGGGTGAGTTAATCTTTTTACCTTGGGTTCCTCCTCTATCAGATGAGTTTACAATGTTTACCCACTTCATACAGTTGTTAGGAGGATCAAATATGTTAATATACGCATATGTAGGATAGTGCCTGGCATGTAATAAGTACCATGAGTGCTTAGTGTGTCATCATACCATGCTCTGATGGCTACTGTGCTGTTCCTGCTGCTGTCATTTAACGTAACATTATCATCTTATATTATAAGTTAATGCTAATGTACTGTTCTTATCATCGTCACTTGACAGTGAGTGGAAAGATCCCCTCTGTGGCCTAAACTGAGGCCAGGTTCAACTAACCCTGTCTCTCGGTTCTTGTGGGAATGCATACGTATCTACACTGCAACTCCAAGAGAACAAGGCCTTGTGTGACCAATGCCTTATGTGGTCCCCCAGGGACCTCTGGGACTGGGATTAGTATCATCTGTCCCATTTACTCCCTCAGCTGAGCCTCCTATGTCCTTAGAAAGTGAAGATGAGGAGGGAGGAGGGTGAAAGGAAGGGGAAACTAGCACTGATTAGAGACCTGTGGCAGACACTTTCATATCTCTAGTTCGCTGAGTCCTCCCAACAACCTTGTGCAGCAGGTAAGCGAGGATCCAGGGCCTCCGAGGGCCTAAGAACCTTGCTTAAGGCCACAGATGAGATCCACAGCCCACCCCTCAGGAGAGGTCTGGTGTTAAAAAAGGCCCAGCATCTTGAGATACACACACCATTCTTGGTAGGCTCAGTTCCTATTTACTGAAGAGGCTGGGTGCAAGATAAATATTTAGGCAACACTTAAAAGAAAAATTCAGCTGCAGGAGCACTTTTCTAAGCCAATACAGGCCATACAAAGAATCTACACAGGCCCTGGTTGACCCCAAACTGGAACCCAAGGCTGTGTGGACTGCTCCTCAATGGAAACTTTCCAGTCTTATTTACCTTGACTGAGAAATGTTTGGAGGAATTTCCTCCACGTCGGGAACCGTTTCTCATTGACTGGCTGTGCGTGCTGTGCTAAAATGCCCGCCAGCTCCTCAGAGATCTTCACCAAAGCTGGCTCCTGCAGAAACAAATTAAATAGAACCACAAGCAATTTTACTACAGAAATGAAAACTGCTTGTGGAGTGATTAAAAACCAGGCCTCCAACAGGCAAAAAAAAAATGTGGTTACTGTTTACCCAGAGTCAGAAAGCCATTTTGAAAATTTTCTCTATTTTTCCGGCCATTTCAGTTTTCATATTTCAAAGTGATTTGCCCCCCTAAAAATTGCTGCTAATTGTGCCTGTTGTCTACAAAAGGCCCCCTTTGGTTTGGGTGTCAGGAAACCCAGGTTTTGGACTCACTGCAGTTTGACCAGCAGAGTATCCTTGGGCAATGGACCTCCCCACTCTGGGCCTTAGTTTGCATTTTGAAAAATGTAGAGCTAACTTGCTTGTCCCTGAGATTTTTCAGACTGGGATGGTTTTTGTTCTGTGGCCCTAATTGCACTAAACTTAGGAGAAATAATAGAGTTGGTGAGATCTTTCTTTGGATCTTCAATTTCTTTAATCTGTGCCCTTCCTGTTTATTGGTAGATATCTGCATCCAACGACTGTGTCACCAAAGCCTATACTATGGGCTGACGCTATAAAGGTGAGATTTTAGGTGGGCAGGTAGGAAAAATGAGGGGAAGAGAAGCATTGGGACCAGCCTCCACCTGCCTGAAATCCCCTCAGGTCAGTCTCATTGGTCTAGCAGTAAGGCCAACCCCATATCAATGCAACACCTAAAGACTACAGAGACCCCGTCCAAATGAAAACAGTAGGAAAGTCTCTGGTAAACAAGAAATCTGGCTTACAGATATGAACTGCCTTGGTTTGCCAAGGCAATTTCTTTTTTGGACATCATCAATTATAATTCTTTTCCCTAAGAGTTTTCAAATGGAAGCCACATTTCAGATGCCACTTCTACCAGAAGCGGGGCAGGGCACTGGACACAGCCCATAAGATGGATAGTATTTATATTCAAAATATGGTACAAAGATGAGACAAAGCTCAGACTGGCTTGGGTAGCAGGGGAACTTGTAAATTTAAGAGTGATGGCTCAGCCGGGGGGAAGTGGCGCATGCCTGTAATCCCAGCAGCTCCAGAGGCTGAGGCAGGAGGATCTCAAGTTCAAAGTCAGCCTCAGTAACTTAGTGAGGCCCTCACTCTAAATAAAAAGGGCTGAGGATGTGGCTCAGTGGTTCAGCGCCCCTGGGTTCAATCCCCAATACTATAAAAAAGAAAAAAGACTCCATTGCCTAAGAGTTATGGCTCAGTCACCTGCTCTGCTGGGTGGAGCCTCAGAAATCATCTGTATGCTCATTTACTTCCGATTTCCCTAAACATTTAAAAGTGATTTTCCTTTGTCTCCCTGACCTTCTCAACTCCTTGGACTATCTGGTTGATTCTGGGTCCAATGCTTGCTGAAATTCCACAGCAGAAGACAAGCATCTGAGTATACGCTAGGCAGGTCCAAATAATCTGATAATTTCTGAAATGTCCAGAAAGTCCTGGTGGGGTTCTTATTAGCTTAGTGAGTGAGTGACATACCAAACGGAAATGCAGAGCACACTGCCTACCCCCGCTGCAGGATGACCAAGGACTGTCAAGAAGGTCTGGGGAATCATCAGGCTCATTTCAGGCCAGGAAAATCACCGTCAAAGCCAAGGGCCTTTTTCTTTCCTTTGTACCCTGTATAACATTTGCACTGATGTTCACAGCAAATTAAAGTCATCTTTTTTTTTTTTTTTTTTTAATGCTTCTTTCTGTTAGAATCATTCTACTCTGTTGAGGAAGACTGACTCTCTCATTCACAAAGTGCCCCAGAGCTGGGGCGAGGAAGCAGGACTATACATTCCTGCCCTGCTCTGGAAACCTGGGTGTCAGGGAAGGAAGCCTTCCAGCCCAAGCCCTGACCCAGGAAGTGGAGATTTCATTTTTTGTTCTGCCTTCAGGAAAGGGCTATTTCTGTCCCATTTCTGAAGGGTGTGAAACGCAGTTATATGCCATGTGGCCACACATGTACTACAGAAAAAAGTATATATTAGGGAGTTACTGGGCGGGGGAAGGGCAGCAGGGGAGGTGGAGAGGAAGCAGTGAAGGAGCAGGTGGAAGTCCTGCTAGAAGATCAAGTGCAAACTCCTCAGCAGGACACCTGGAGAAGGCCCTCTGTGATATGGCCTCTACTCCAATGTGCCTCATAGCCTCACCTCTCTCCTCCCCAGTTCCAAGTCTCCCCCAAGCTGCCTTCCTCCTCTTCCTCCCTAGGTGACTCCTCAGCCTTTCTGAGGGTCCAGTCACACCTCCCCCATCGGGCTTTCTTTGCTGCTTCTGTTGGAGGTCTCTTCTCCCTGTCTTCCAGCTTCTGTGGGACTTCAAAGTGGCAAAGACACTGGCTTTGAGCTCAGTCCTGCAGTGTCCAGCGTAGGGAACATTAAATGTTTGTGGAATGAATCATGGTCGTGGTAAACACAGGGACGTGGTCCTTAACAGCTGAAGTTACAGAGCAAGAGAAGATGTGACACGTCTCCCCAGGCTGCCCCCTCACTGCCCAGGAACCACCTGAGGGGATGGCTGCTCACGAGCCACCCGTTCTTCCGGGGTGGATTTTATGGGATTCCCTGCCTCTGAGGGGCATCAGGATGATAAATGAGGTGACATTTATGAAGTGTCACCTCAGATGCAACATGCTATGGGAAGGCCAGTAATTAACTCTAGGGCTGCTGCCGGTATGAGGCATCAGGACGTGGTTCCGGCTGCCACCACTGCCTCTGCTCACGAAGTCCCCCATTCTGCTGTGACACTTGATGTTGGCGCGTGCACAAAGCCACAGCAAGGGGGCAAATTTCTTAGAGGCGAGTCTGCTGCAGGAATCTGGAGGATGTGACATGTCCCGTCATGAGATGTACACAGCTGAAGGCACTGGCGGGGGATGTTCAATGGGGGACGCTGGGGCACGTGGTGGCCACTTGGGGCCATGATTAACTCTCTGAGAAGACCGCATGGGGAGGAGTAATGGGGGCGGGCGGGGCTGGTATTAACTGTTTAATTTATTTCTTTATTTGAAAGCATCTGATAGCAAATATAAGGATTTTATAAAAGAATTGCCTTAGTACCCATAAAAGAGAATTGTTCCTTCACTTCTACAAAATAATGATGATGATGATGACAACGAAGATAATAGAGTAGGACCTACAGTTCGCACATTCAAGAAGGGACAGCAAAATGACTTTCTGCCTAAGAGCTTCATTTTATTTTATCCTCACCCTCAAAACAACTCCCAAAGCCAGTTTCTGCTGGGGAGCTCAGATCCAGGCACAGAAGATGCATCACAGCAAGATCTCAAAGGCCACGAGGCCCACGTCAGGTGCGTGTCTCAGTTTTGGGGGTTGTTTCTATTCTCTGGTGATTATCATTTATGTAGTTCAAACGCAAAGAGCACAATTCTCTAAAGCAATGCTTTCAAGGGAAGATATGCAGCTATTGAGCCTTATTCTGTTCAGAATAAACACACACACACACACACTCGCCAGACCCCTCCCACACCATCTCAACTATCAGAACAGTATTCACACAGTACTTTTCTCTTGTCACAGACTCCGATTCATGAACTCACTTGGCCCTTAAGGCAACACCCTGAGGTAGGCCAGCATGGTATTGTTACCTCTCTGCAAATGAGAGGCACCTACAGTAAGGAGGTTTGGGTAAAGTTGCTCACTGAGTTGCCACATTCTGTTATCGAGTGGCTCCCGACAAATGATTGAAGACAAAAAAGACATTGCTGGCTTGCTTTCTTCCTTCCCCTACCCCTCTCCCAAAGTGCATGTATATTGAATGTCTGTTACAAGTCAGCATCAGGGAGCATCTTCTGTATCTTACTAACTTGTGCAATGAATAGTTAGGACATTTCTTTTCAGTGAGTAACGTCAGGGTGATTGACAACCAAGTCAGTATTTCTTAGAGCCTGTCACCCACATTGAGCAGATCATTTAGAGCCAGTGACTCTGGGCAAGTAAAAGGAAAAGATAGACCTTGTGAATGATAACAAGATTGCGCTGAGAAGGGAATGCTCAGGAGCTTCTGGTGTTTGTGAAGCTGAAACTCTAGGGTAGTTCCCAGTCAGGAGGAACTTCAGCCCATCTTTGCCATTGCACAGGCTTGCTCACACTTCACCTGGACCCACCTTTACCCCTCAGAGGGCATCAACAGTAGTCATGACCTTGAAAAGTCTCAAGATATCTACAGAGGGCTGGGGATGTGGCTCAAGTGTAGCGCGCTCCTCTAGTATGCATGCGTGCGGCCCGGGTTCGATCCTCAGCACCACATACAAACAAAGATGTGTTCGCCGAGAACTAAAAAATAAATATTAAAAAAAATTCTCTCTCTCTCTCTCTCTCTCTCTCTCTCTCTCTCTCTCTCTCTCTCTCTCTCTC